TTTTGGTGCAAACTAACCACCCACATGGGATACAGAACAGGATAAAAAACTGTAGCCCTAGCACTGTCAAAAAGGAGCGGGACAGCTCTAAAAAGGATGGATTGCTGTAAGTCAAAACATGTCTGGATGCTGTTATTTGATTAGAATCAAACACCACCAAAAATGATCTAAACAGCAAACTATATATCCATCTGGATGTGTTCTCATTTACTTTGAAGGCCCTACTAGGGTTGCTACAAGTCAGTTGCAACTTGATGGTGCATAACAACAATGAAGCCTTCAATATGTATTGTGTTGTTGTTGTTGTTTTAAACTTAACTCTCTATTCTCATCTTAATTTAATCTAACCTCACTCAGTTTTATCCACCTTTTCCTGCCTGTTTAACAGCCGACACCATATTCTTTCATCACAGGGCTTTGATAGAGAAAACTAAAGTTTATTGAATTAAGCCTGGTAGTGATTGTTTCCCTTTCTTCTGAGTTCATTATGTACCCATTGAGCAATAATGAACTCCCTTCATCCATTAACCTCAAAGTAGCACAGGCCAGTTAAGAGTGGGATTTGGGTGACCTTTTTGTTCGTCATCCGAGCAGGATAAAAAGTCTGGGGATGTGCAGAAAAGGAAGCGCTGGATGCAGATGAAACGATGCAGACCGAGTGTGTCAGAGTTTCCACTGTGGAGCGGTGGGGGTGGGGGGAGGCAGAGAGGGGGAGTGAGGCTGCCAAAAGACAACAATCCAGGGATGGAGCAGACAGTGCCTTTTTGCAAAGCTAGAATTGGGGGGAGTGTGGCCAGCGTCGCAAACAGTGAGGAAGGATGGGATTTGAATTGTGGGGGCCCTATTCCTTCTTGATACAAATCTTCTCCTAGTTGCAACCTGGTACTAGAGATGGGCACAAACTGCTTCATCCCAGTTCATCCTAGTTTGTAAAGGTGGCACCACAGATGCTGCTGCTGCCCTCCCCTGCCTCCTCTGTTTCAATCAGGCACTTGCTGGGTCTAGCATGGTTGCTTCCTGCACCACCTCAACTAATCTTCCAGTCCCGGCAGCAGCTCAGGCTTCTCTGCCCCGCCCTCTCAGCTGATCTCCCAATCAGAGAAAAAGGGCGAGGCAGGGAAGTCTGTGCTCTTGCTCCTGACTGGGAGATTAGCCGAGGAGGTGGGAAAAGCAAGCAAGCAAGCTGGGCCTGGTAAGGAGCTTGATCAACTGAGGAGGCAGGGGTGAGCAGCAGCAGCAGTACCTTTACGAGGCTGGTACCTTTACGAACTGGTTCATGCCCATATCTAGCTGGCAGTAACCCTTTATGTATTCGCGAAGGCTTTCATGGCCGGGATCTACTGGTTGTTGTGGGTTTTTCGGGCTCTTTGGCCGTGTTCTGAAGGTTGTTCTTCCTAACGTTTCGCCAGTCTCTGTGGCCGGCATCTTCAGAGGACAGCACTGTCACCCTTTTGCCTGGCTAGTATGCAGAAAAGCACATTTGTATGATAGAGTGGCCAAAATCCTGTTGTGTAGCAAAGCAAATGGTGTTGAATTGCTGGAGGTGAATGGCTCCAAGTTAAGAAATCACTGTAGAGGTTGTAAGTCCCACACCAAGCCATACAACTCAGTATGCAACTGGTCTTGTCAACAGTGATTTCTTAACTTGGGGCAGTTCATCTCTGAAAGTTATACCGTTTCTGCTCCGCCAGGGTAGCTAGGTAAGAGGATTTGAGCCAATATCGAGCAGAATCCTGCTTTCTTGCCCCACGTCTCCGGAGACCTGTTGCAGAAGCAGCTCAAGAGTTATCATGCTGGTGTAAAGGGATATCCAGCACCTCCTTTTCAGGTTTATCCTGCACTTAAATCAGGAATGGGCAGTTTCTTGATTGCAAGGTTCATAATCAAACTGGAAAAGTCCTGCTCTGAGCTAGGCATGTCTTTGGTCAAACATGTCGTGATTGTAAAATGGCTATTCCTTGATTTGCGGAAAGCAAAACTAAAGCAAATGAAAAGCATTATATTCTTTCAGTGTAGAATAAACGGAGAGAGAGTTGTGCTCTATTTTTAGCAATCCAGAGGTACATCACTGACGTTTATATGACACGTATGATACAATACTTCTGCCAGTATTTACAGTTTTCGAAACTGCCCTGTAAGTGAAGGTGTCCAGTCCAAACTGAAGCAAGAATGATTTTTCCCTCCCCCTTTTCGTAATGGAGAAATGTATGTAGGCATTATGATGAAATTTCTTTGAGCTGGTTGTTAGGAAGGAGGGAGGTATCATAACTATGCAAATATCTGGCCACAGCTGCAGGATCGTCAGCCAACTCATGAAGCTGAAAAGACCATACCAAAGTGTGCTACTGGCTTGACTGGATCGCTTAGGAAATGTTGGCTGAAACATGAACCCTTTGCTCTTGTGACGCAAGGCCTTTCTTGAGCTCTTGCAGAGCATACAATGTATTATAGATGACCCATTATTAGAAAAAGAAATACCTCTTTGTTGATTGTGTGTTATTGTCACAGCAAAGATTTTCATCAACTCCTGCAGTTTTATAAACATATTCTTTGTTGCCAAGTTGCCTTGTGTTGCAGGCAAAAGTCTGCTTCAGAAACACTAATGTGATTTCAGCTTAAATGATACATCAGCAATAATATACAGTCTAGCCCTAGTTAGCTGGTGTTTAGAGCGGTGCAAAGCAGGGCCGGTGTACAGCTGGAAAAGTGAGGCATCGCTGACTTTTTGTCAGATGTAGAGAGTAACAAATGTAAAGAGTGTGGAACTTTGGAATGTCACATTATCAGCACCCTTCATGATGGCCAGATAGGGTGACCAAATACAAAAGTAGAAGCGGACTGTTCATTAAAGGCCTTTGTCCTAGCCTATCCTGCTTAGCGGGACGTGGTGGCGCTGCGGGGTAAACCGCAGAAGCCTCTGTGCTGCAAGGTCAGAAGACCAGCTGTCGTAAGATCGAATCCACGTGACGGAGTGAGCTCCCGTCGCTTGTTCCAGTTCCTACCAACCTAGCAGTTCGAAAGCATGTAAGAATGCAAGTAGGTACCACCTCGGTGGGAAGGTAACAGCCTTCTGTGTCTAGTCGCGCTGGCCACGTGACCACAGAAACTGTCGACGGACAAACGTTAGCACTACGGCTTGGAGACGGGGATGAGCACCGCCCCCTGGAGCTGGACACAACTGGACTAAATGTCAAGGGGAACCTTTACCTTTACCTTATCCTGCTTGGCAGTGATGATGGCCACAATGGCAACTGATAGGAAAGCATGTAATGTGATGTGATGATGGCCACAATGGCAACTGATAGGAGCCTGTGATAGCCATTGATGGGTTTCCAGCATCATCTGGATAAGCACCCCTTTTTCAGCTCTGCATTAGGGATCAGTATCTTGTCTGTGAGAGCCAGCGTGGTGTAGAGGTTGGACTGTTGGGCTAGCATGCAGAAGACCTGAGTTCAAATCCCCACTCAGCCATGGAATCCACCAGGTGACTTTGGGGCAGTTACAGTCTCTCAGCACAATCTATCTCATGAGATTACTGTAAGGATAAAATGAGGAGGAGGAAAACTATATGAACCCAGGAGATTACTTAGCTCTCCCTAGAATGGAAGAAAGATGAGATATAAATGTACATGGGAAAAAACCCAACAAAATGGAGAAAGTAAGGCTGCAAGAGCTGGAACTGTAAGCATATTTAATGGGGAATTTAGTGGAAGCAAAAATGATGAAACTGAGACTGTCATCCTTTGCCCATGCCATGAGAAGGCAAGATTCGATTGGAAAAGACATCATTGTTAGGAAAAACAGAAGGCAAGATTCGATTGGAAAAGACATCAATGTTAGGAAAAACGAAAAGAGAAAGACCAAATAGGAGATAGATTGACTTCATAAAGGAAACCACAGCCTTGAGTTTTCAAGACATGAGTAAGCTGCTGAGAGGAGGGCACTTGTTTAAGCCAGAGATGACTTGATGGCAGGTAAGAATAACAAGTGGGAAACTTATTGGACTTAATTGTAAGTCATCTTGTTTGATGTGGGATGGGAAAAGACAATAGGATGACAGTGGAGGAGAGGAGTCAAGCATAACTGAGAAACACAGAAACTGTCTATGGACAAACACTGGCTCTACGGCTTGGAGACAGGGATGAGCACCGCCCCCTGGAGCCAGACACAACTGGACTAAATGTCAAGGGGAACCTTTACCTTTACCTTATCCTGCTTGGCAGTGATGATGGCCACAATGGCAACTGATAGGAAAGCATGTAATGTGATGGCCATTGATGGGTTTCCAGCATCATCTGGATAAGCACCCCTTTCTCAGCTATGCAATAGGGATCAGTACCTTGTCTGTGAGAGCCAGCGTGGTGTAGAGGTTGGACTGTTGGGCTAGCATGCAGAAGACCTGAGTTCAAATCCCCACTCAGCCATGGAACCCACCAGGTGACTTTGGGGCAGTTACAGTCTCTCAGCACAATCTATCTCACGAGATTACTGTAAGGATAAAATGAGGAGGAGGAAAATCATATGAACCCAAGGAGATTACTTAGCTCTCCCTAGAATGGAAGAAAGGTGAGATATAAATGTACTGGGGGAAAAAACCAACAAAATGGAGAAAGTAAGGCTGCAGGAGCTGGAATTGTAAGCATATTTAATGGGGAATTTAGTGGAAGCAAAAATGATGAAACTGAGACTGTCATCCTTTGCCCATGCCATGAGAAGGCAAGATTCGATTGGAAAAGACATCAATGTTAGGAAAAACGAAAAGAGAAAGACCAAATAGGAGATAGATTGACTTCATAAAGGAAGCCACAGCCTTGAGTTTTCAAGACATGAGTAAGCTGCTGAGAGGAGGGCACTTGTTTACCTGCTTGCCGTAAGCCAGAGATGACTTGATGGCATGTAAGAATAACAAGTGGGAAACTTACTGAACTTAATTGTAAGTCATCTTGTTTAATGTGGGGTGGGAAAAGACAATAGGATGACCGTGGAGGAGAGGAGTCGAGGATAACTGAGAAATAAACAGGGAAGAAACCAGAGAAGTTAAGCCTTTGCAAACCAGATCCATACAGTAGTTTCCTAGACTTCTGCTCTTATCTCTGATCACTGTTGAGTGATCAGAGATAAGAGCAGAAGATGCTTGTGGTTGGGTTACCATGGCACCCTTGAGGCCTCATCCAGATCAGGGACTATCCACTCCACATTCTAGGGCTAAGATTATAGCTTAAGGATATGGGTACCCTCAGACTTATACCTGGTTCTTGAAAACATGGCAGGTTGATCCACACCTACTAAGGTTTAGTTGATCACTCTGTCTGAAGAGATGAGGTTCTCTGTTGTACTCTGCCCACGGCAGCACCCACACCATGAGTCACACCATCGTTAACGTAAGCACTGTTTCGTCCTTTGCAGGCACGAACCCAGATTTAAACAGCGTATGCTGGAATTGACGGACACAAACAACATAGCGTACTTGTTTCTGTCTGCTGCCAACAGATGGCTGGAGGTCAGGACGGTACGTACGGCTTAGTCAATGCCTCGGCTTCGAAACCTTAGAACCTGACAAGTTACTTTGCTTGTTGCAGGACGCCAGGCCAAAATCCCCACCAGGGTACATCTGGCAGCGAAACATAAGAGTTTTGTAAACGGCGATACTTAAAAATAGCTCTGCGCTGTTTCGGTGGAGGACTTTTGTTTTTCTTTTCCTCGACGAAGCCAAGAAACGTCGTCATGTAATACTGCTGTGGTTCCCATCATACAAAAAAGATAACTAGAGTGGATTGGAGCTTTCCTCAGTTCAACCAGACACAGAAAGGAGTGAAAAGGACCGGTCTCCCTTCCCAGCACACTTTGCAAACTGGCCCCGTTGTCACTGTTTTTTGCACACTTACTTAGGGCCATAAAATTTGAGTTTTATTTAAGAATGGACCTCAACAGATGGGAAACCTTGACATCTGAGTGTTCAGCCTGGAGACAGGCGTTGCATCACAGCCTCTTCCAATTTGAAGAGACCCTTGTCCAGCAGGCCGAGGCAAAGAGGAAGTCCCGAAAGCATCAAAATCAGGGAGCTGGACACGGGACAGATTGTATTTGTCCTCAGTGTGGAAGGGACTGCCACTCTCGAATCGGCCTTCTCAGCCACACTAGACGCTGTTCCAAGTCCTCCATACAGAGCATGTTCCCATAGTCTCTCGAAACTGATGGATGCCTAATCCAAAATTTGAGTATGGCCTGTACGCATCAGCCAAGCTTGCATGGATTTCCTAGAAAAAAACTGGTAGCTATTAGGAGACATGGATCACCGGAGAGGGAACCTATGGCCCTCCAGTTCTGTTTTTCTATTGGCTTGATGGGAGCCACCGACAAGCCACATCTGGACTTGACAGCCACATGTCTTTACTGGATTCTATGCATGCGGTCTGTATTCAAGCAATATAGTCCTGTGGTGATGTTCACAGATAACAGAAGTGAAGACAGAAAAGACGGGGATACTCTTGCTGCCCCATTGGCGAAACTCCTCCAGAAAGTGGTTCCACGAGGTTGGGGCCACTGCGGAAAAGACCCTACTCCCAGTAGATGATTTATGGGCCTCCCTCATGGTGGCCACCCAAAAGGGCCTCACCTGTGATGATCTAGTGGGTCAGGCCGAGGACATCAAGGGAAAGATGCTCCGACAAGCAGCGTGGACCCAAACCATATAGGGTCTACTGTAGGACATTTGATTCTCTTTTTACTCCAGTGCATCCATCTTTCTCTGATTGTCTTTTCTTTTCTTTCTTTTTTCCAGGATTATCTGGGGGCCTTCATTGTTCTCACTGCAGCTCTCGCCTCCATTTCTAAGAGCCCCATGTCTGGCTTTGTAGGCTTGGGCCTCCTCTATGCATTGACGGTATGTATGGCAGAAAAGCTGAGATCCTTTGGGCGTGACCCAGCAGGAAGGTCCCATGCCCAACCTGAGGGGGAGCCATTTCCTTTGGCATCCTCATTTGTTTTTAGACGTCCTGTGGGCAGAAGAATTTCCTAGTGGACTTTGCCCTTTGAAGACTACCCATCAGGTGGGTGGCCCACCGTTAGAAATCCCAAATGGCTGCGACTCCCTGCCTGGCTTTTCCAGTAGAAAAGGAACCATCTCGCCAGGGCAGAAAAAACTTCACCTGCAGGTTCTGTGAGCCAACTAAAACAAGAACTACAATACAGACCCTAAGATTCCCAGGCTTCGAATGCTCCCGAGGAAAGAAGGAGAAAAGGGCACGCATGGACTTTTGGTTTGCTGTACAGTGCTGCATCTATGGCCTGCGACCTTCCCAAAATCAGGGTCCAGCCTTCAACAGCACATCTGTATTTTGTTTTCTCTCTCTCTGATGCGACCTTGTTGTCGTCTGCACCTTTAAGGCGCAACTTGGATTGATGGAGAGGCTGACTGTTTCAATGTAAATTCATAATTAATTGACCTGTGTTGTCTACCTGCCCCCCAGGGGCTTGTGCCTGAAGGAAAGTATCTACCGAATTTGGGAGGTGCCTACTCTCTATATAGCTCAGTGGTTTAGGTATCTGGCTGTGGAGGCAAACGTCAGGAGTTTGATTCCCCACTGGGCCTCCTGAGAGCAGAGCCAGCCCGGGTGGCCTTGGGCCAGCTGCACTATACTCCCAGGATACCTCTAGAAGAAGGAGAAGATAAACCACCTCTGAGTAATCTCTACCTGGAAATCCCTGAAAAGGGTTGCCATAAGTTGGAATTGACCCAATAGCACATGGTTATTATTATATTATCCCCCACATGGTCTTATGGGCTGTCCATAATACACTCAATGGCTAGCTATTCCTTTCTTCTTTAATTTTGTTGTTGTGATTCTTATTAATAGTCCATCACCACAGAATATACAAAAAATTCATACAATGTACCCCTCCCAGCTCCCTGTCCAAGGAACTTACATTCCAAATTTCAAGAGATGGAAGAGATGAGGAAGGGAAGGTTAACAGTAGAATAGGCAAAATATTATTTTTCTCTCTGCATCTTTTTCCTCTACTTTCTTCCTCTTTCTTCCTTTCTTTTTCTTACTTCATTCCTGTGTCCCATTTCTCCTACTCTCCCTCCGTCTCAAAGCAAAGCAAAGTCTTCTGCTTATCCATCACCCCATAGCATTTAAAGCACTCTCTGGGCAGTTTACAAGTTATTTATGCAGGCTACACATTGCCCACCACCACCAGCGAGCTGGGTACTCATTTTACTGACCTCGGAAGGATAGAAGGCTGAGTCAACCTTGAGCCGGCTACCTGGGATTGAACCCCAGGTCGTGAGCACAGTTTTGGCTGCAGTACAGCAGTTTAACCACTGCGCCACGAAGCTCTACAATAATTGGTGGGGTACCCTCAGTGTGACCCGAAATACCCTCTGATCATGGGTTGTGATTTGAAAATGAATTAGTCACAAAATAGAGCATTTCCATTCCTGGACTGTGAACAGTGCCAGCTAGAGAATTATGTGCATTCATGCCAACTCCAACATCTTTTCAAAAAGTGGCTCTCTGTATAATATATGTAACCAATGAGATGGAAGAGGAGATAAGAAACTTATAAAAGAAGAGAGAGATATTGTTTCCAAAGTGATGTCAAGCAATGGCATATTCGGTTTCCCTCTTATTCTTTAGTTGTTGAGTTGTGTCCAATTCTTCGTGTCCCCATGGGCCAGAGCACGCCAGGCCCTCCTGTCTTCCACTGCCTCCCGGAGTTGGGTCAAATTCATGTTGGTAGCTTCGATGACACTGTCCAATCATCTTGTCCTCTGTCATCCTCTTCTCCTCTTGCCTTCACACTTTCCCAACATCAAGGTCTTTTCCAGGGAGTCTTCTCTTCTCATGAGATGGCCAAAGTATTGGAGCCTCAGCTTCAGGATCTGTCCTTCCAGTGAGCACTCAGGGTTGATTTCCTTCAAAATGGATAGGTTTGTTCTCCTTGCAGTCCAGGGGAATCTCAAGAGTCTCCTCCAAGACCATAGTTCAAAAGCATCAATTCTTCGGCAGTCAGCCTTCTTTATGGTCCAGATCTCATTTCCATACATTGCTACTGGAAAAACCATAGGTTTGACTATGTGGACTTTTGTTGGCAAGGTGATGGCTCTGCTTTTTAAGATGCTGTCGAGGTTTGTCATTGCTTTCCTCCCAAGAAGCAGGCATCTTTTAATTTCGTGGCTGCTGTCACCATCTGCAGGGATCATGGAGCCCAAGAACGTAAAATCTGTCACTGCCTCCATATCTTCCCCTTCTATTTGCCAGGAGGTGACGGGACCAGTGGCCATGACCTTAGTTTTTTTCAACTTCATTTCTTCTATGGGATTCTTGCTGACATTAGTAGATATGATAATCATTTAAATTGAATTCGCCCATTCCCGTCCATTTTAGTTCACTGACGCCCAGGATGTCAATGTTTATTCCTGCCATCTCCTGTTGCAGCTGACCAAGGTTCATAGATCTTACATTCCAGGTTCCTATGCAGTATTTTTCTTTGCAGCATCGGACTTTCCATTCACTTCCAGGCACGTCAGCTGAGCGTCCTTTCGGCTTTGGCCCAACCACTTCATTAGCTCTGGAGCTACTTGTACTTGTCCTCTGCTCTTCCTCAGTAGCATGTTGGATGCCTTCCGACCTGAGGGCCCATCTTTCAGCATCATATCTTTTAGCCTTTTGTTTCTGTCCATGGGGTTTTCTTGGCAAAGATACTGGAGTGGCTTGCCAGTTCCTGCTCCAGGTGGATCGCGTTTAGTCAGAACTCTCTACTATGACCTGTCTGTCTTGGGTGTCCCTGCACGGCATAGCCCATAGCTTCTCTGAATGACTCAAGCCCCTTCACCATGACAAGGCAGCAAACCGTGAAGGGGTTTGCTTTCCCTCTACAATCGTATTATTCAGGTTCAAAAGAAATTCTTGCTTTCTCTCAATCCCCTCTACATCTCACATGGTTTTTCAGCTGTTTTCACCATTTTCCTCTATCTCACCTCTTTACAAAATAGGATGATCAAAGAATGTTCAAGTAAAATGAAGTTACTTGGATACAAGACCAATTTTCCCTGTGAAGAAATTCAATCAATTCAGCAGTGATGTGCATGCAATTTATGCCCTGCCACATGTACAAAAGAAGATCTTAGAAAGCACCACATGTACAAAAGAAGATCTAAGAAAGGGCCAGGATAATGCTATTGATGTAGCCTGCTTCTAGTCAAAAATAGTCTAATTTTCTTAACTTTTTTTTTATTTTAACTAATTTCATATACATCCATAATTTTAAATTGTGCAATGTTCTGATACGGATATAGAAAGGCCACTTTGCTGATGCCAGGTTCTCTTAGAAAATATCGGAAAACCAACCCGCAAATCCTTTTTCTTCCTTATAACTTCTTTATTCCTTCCCTTTCTCCCTTTCTTTACTGTCCCCCCTTCTTTTCCTTTGTTCTTTCTTTCAAATTCTTTCTTTGAGATTTTTCAAAGTTCCTTCGATCAAAGCATTGTACAATTTGAAGATAAAAATGAATATACATATGCATCAAGGAGTAGCGAAAGCGAGATGGAACTCTGGCTTCTCCTCACCTTACCTCTCTCCTTTGGCAAGACGATGTGGAGAAAGGGGGCAGCCAAAGGGAGCGGCTAGGGGTGACATTTGACTCAAGATCTCGGATCTAGTTTACAAGAACCCTACTAACACTGTATATGTTTTCAACAGCGGCTGTTGGTTGAGTTTATGAATCCATTGACTCAGTCACCACTGTTCCACCAGCAAACTCATCTCCTTCTTCCATCATTGCTACAAAGGATGACAAAACATTCTTATTCTGTGCTTTTACAGATCTCAAATTATTTGAACTGGGTGGTGAGAAATCTGGCGGACCTTGAAGTGCAAATGGGCGCCGTGAAGAAAGTGAACAGTTTTCTCAACATGGAGTCTGAGAATTATGAAGGCACCATGGGTAGGATGCCGGATTCCTTACTTTTTTAAAAAATTCACAAAAGCACATATCATTTCAGAAGTCTGCTGTCTTTCTATGTGGAGAATTTTTCTTGTTAAACATGCAGAAGAGGCATATTGTGAGGTTTCTGTCAGGAAAGCATTTATTTGGCTAACTAGCTGAGACAGTTTTGAATACAAGTACGGTATAACAAATGCATGTCGGAAAAGTTTGAGGCACCACAACATACAGAGTAAATATATAGAAAATATGCACAAAGAGTCATAAAAGTTAATTTGCATTGGTATTCCTTTGAACTTCCTTCCCAGGATGTCCTTTTGATAGTCTCAGGATGCTCCTTTGAAATTCCCATTTTTTAGGAAGTCCCTTTGCTCTTCCTTCAGAAAGGAGCCTGAGTAATTTATTGTGTTTATCATACCTTTGCTCTTATGCCTTTCAAAAAATAACTTCTGATTCAGAGTGTCCATGTAGAGTGGGGGGATTGTGCAGTTCTGGAAGCTGTCGTCCAAAAAAAGATAGCATTTCCTGCGTCTGGGCCTGAGTTATATGTAAATTCCCTGAACATCCCAAACTGGATTGCCTGTTATATATTCCACGCATTGCAAACATACAAGGGGTTGCAGAATCATGTTGTTGGCTTCAGTCTAGATATCTCAGAATTCTATTTCTGGCTGCAGAATTCTGTTCCCCACTGGCCCTCCTTGACAGGAGCTAGACTTGATGATCCATAGAGTAGATCTTCCAGCTCTACAGTTCTAAGATATTATATTATTATTATTCAATGAAAGCTTGGAAGAATGTTTGTGCACAGGGGATCAACAGAGGTCGCAGACATATTTAGGAGCTTTCATTGTGTATTATGCTGAATCTGCGTAGGAGTGCAGGATTGATTAGGGTCATCCAAAGTCTACCTTGCATATTCTTTGCAACATGTTAAGTCTTACTCCTCCATTTCATCATGATATGAAACACAGCTCAGCCAAAGGCCTCCAATGAACTGGGATTAAATTTTTATTTTGCCTCACTTTTTGCTTTTCTTAGAATCAGATGACTATTTTTATTGTGCATACAAACTTTAAGGATACACAAGACTGTTGTGCCATACTCGCTGATTGTGTGAATCAAAGGCCCCACAATCTTCTTGGCTTTCACATCTCTTTGTTAATCTTTGCAGATATTTCTCAGGTCCCCAAAGATTGGCCCCAGGAAGGAGAAATCAAGATTGAAAATCTGTGTGTCCGATACGAAAACAACCTGAAGCCAGTTCTCAAGCATGTCAAAGCTTACATCAAACCAGGCCAGAAGGTTCTGCAAACTTAAATTGTCTCATTTCCTTTTTTAGGCTTTGTAACCTTGAAGTAAACAGACGGTAACCATTATCTGAGATGGAACGGTGTCAAAAAGAAGCTTTAAAAGTCCCACATTTCTACCAGCTAGATTATGGAGTGCAGCTCTGAATTTTTTACTGCTTCCACTAAATCATACCTACGGATTTAGAGTATTAATAACCTGTACATGTTATGTGCCATCAAGTCATTATAGTAACCCTGTGAAATTTATAACCTCCAAAGTATCATGAACAGCCTTGCTCAGTCCCGTATTAACAGATTCCAAGCAATATACCGTATTTTCCCCTGTATAAGACGCCCCCATGTATAAAATACCCCCACTTTCTAATCCAAAATTAAGAAATCTAAGTGGGGATTAGCAAGTGTACGGGGAAAGGGATCAAAGCACTGCAGTGCTTTGATCCCTGCTTTCCCTCCACTTGTTTTGTTCTCTCCTCAGCTTGCTTCCGTGTATAAGACGACCATCAATTTTTAGTCTAAAGATTTTAAACAAAAGTATAGTCTTATACACGGAAAAATGTGGTAATCTGTTGTGATTGTGTATTGTGATTGTGAGTTGTGATTGTGAGTCATCATAGGAGCTACTCTGATCTACTCCGATGTCAAGGCAGTACAAAAGTCAGCATATTCAGTGATTCCCAACCTTGAGTCCCCAGATGTTCCTGGACTAAAATTCCCAGAAGCTTTCGCCACCAGCTGTGCAGGCCAGGATTTCTGGGAGTTGTAGTCCAAAAACATCCGGAGACCCAAGATTGGGAACCACTGATGCATATGAAATGTCTTTCCCTCTCTAACTAAAAATCATGAGTCTGAGGATCTTTCCCTTTTGGCCCCAACCGTGCTTTAGAAAAGACCAGATCAAACCTCATCTGACCGTTCCATTTTCTGCTGCTCTTTCTCCCTTTGGGAGAAAGGTGGCATAGAAATGAAATAAATAGTAAATACATATCTTCTAGGTTGGGATCTGCGGTCGCACCGGCAGTGGGAAGTCTTCGTTGTCCCTGGCTTTCTTCAGAATGGTAGACATATTTGATGGTAGGTATTCTAGGAGAACAAGCTCCTTTGGACTTACCTGCATGTTCTCCAAGCTCTGTCATGGAACCACGAAGGCAAATGTAACCTACCAGCTGTGTATGGTGGCCAGAATGGGGGAGGTTTCTTTTTCTGAATACTGGGGCCAGAGTGTGGTGTGGGGGATAGAATAACAGACTAGGACTTGGGAGACATGGGTTTGAATCCGTCTTCAGCCACAGAAGCTCACTGGGTCCGTGGAACGGGTAAAGCCACTCCTTAAATATCTCGCTTACATTAAAAACCCTACTAGGATCACTGTAAGGCAGTTTGGACTTTGAGGGCACAGAACAACCACCATCTCCACTGCCACTTAGCATTTCTTTAGTACCAATTTGCCGCTTCTTACAGCAGCTGGTGTCAGCAGAAAGTCATTGGCAACCTAGAGGTGAAACAGATGAGAAACAAAAGCCTAGATTCCTATTTCATGGCTGGGTTAGATCAGCCTCAGCTAATGACAGCTACATCGGCTGCAGCTCTTTCTCCGGCTCCCACCTCCAGCGCACAGTAGCGTCGTTAATCATGTACAGAGGAATCAAAATATTTCCTTTATGGGAAAAACAAAAGGAGGGTGGCAGAGAAAAACAAAACAGAAGGGAGGCATCCGTCATGACTTTGGTCTGGGATGGATCAGTATAGAATCACCTACCCTTTTGGCTGAGTTAAAATCGGGACGAATAAATTTCAGCTCCCTTTTGCTGCTGGTTTTTTCCTCATTAAATGTTAAGGCATTGTTGCCAGAGTACTCATTGTGTGTCTTCTGTGCTTTCAAGTTGGAAGCAGCTTTTGGAGACCCTAATATGGCTTTCAAGGTTAGGTGAGATATTTAGGGAGTGGCTTTAACAGTTCCACATATCCTCAGTGAGTTTCCATGGCCAAGGATTCGAACCCTGTTCTCGAGTCCTAGTCTGTTACTCTGTCCGCTACACCACACTGGGACAAACAAATTGCTCCATTTAAATAAAGCTGAACTTTAACTGCAAATTAAAAATGTGAGCTGATTGATTGAAAATGTTGTTGGCCGGCTGTAGAAATCTCATGAATCATCAGAGTGTGGATATGTTCGTTTTTAGGACTGCAGCCCCCAGCATGCTGGCTGGGGATTTTGGGAGTTGTCGTCCAAGGGGGGGGGGGAGGTAACAATTCCAAGCTCTGTGACTCGTGATATTGTACCTCCTTTGGTTTACCAACAACCCTTTGTAATAATTCAAAGACATCTGAGTTCAGAAGATGAAGACTGGAGCCTGGGTGAGGCCATTACCAGCTATGGCCTAGGCAAAACTCCAACTCCTACTGCCAACCAAGAACAGATTTTAGAAACATTGCTTTTTTTGGACTTAACTCCAAAAAAGGAACTTCTCCGTAATCTATTAAAAAGCAAAGTGTGCTACTTATATACCGCCCCATAGCACTTCAAGCACTCTCTGGGCGGTTTACAAGTTAAATATGCGCTCAACGTTTCCCCCCCCCCCCCAGCGAGCTGGGTACTCATTTTACCGACCTCAGACGGATAGAAGGCTGAGTCAACCTTCAGCCGGCTACCTGGGATTGAACCCCCAGGTCGTGAGCACAGTTTTTTGGCTGCAGTACAGCAGTTTAACCACTGTGCCACGAGTCATCGAAGCAACCAACATGAATTTGACCCGACTCTGGGAGGCAGTGGAAGACAGGAGGGCCTGGTATGCTCTGGTCCATGGTGTCACGAAGAGTTGGACACGACTTAATGACTAAACAACAAAATTAAAATCCAAGCTGGAGAAGACTTCTCAGCTTCTGTCTCCCCATCTCCACCATCTCGTCTTCTTTTTCAGGCGTTACCCTTTATCTGGCCAGGTGTTCATGCCAAGGGCCCTAAGGGGAACCTCCAAGGAGGGGTGGCCTTAAAACAGAGCATGCATGTGATTGTGGGTCCATGGGGAAAGTAACTCTTCTAAGGGCTAGCTGTAGTGTTGGCTTGAAAACAAAACTATTTCTGATTATCTCAGAAACCACCATTTATTTCCATGTCAGTCTGAAGCTCACTCATCTCTTGTTTATGCATGATGCCCCATCACCTCTGGTTTATCTCCTGTATGGACCACAATATAGCAAGTAACATATGCTGTGCTATAATAGAGCACCTATTATAGTGATGCCCAGTTTGATTCCTGACTAATGGCTTATGATCCTCCTCCTCTTCCACTCTTCTGAATCCTTCCTCCTCATTTTCTGCTGTGTGAAGCACAGGGCGTTTGCACCCAAACCTTTTGATAGTACCCTTGACCATCTGAGCTGCTTGTTACTGAATCCTTCTGTTGGTTTGATGCCTCGCGTGTCCCATTTGGTTCGTTCCCAATAAATCACACAATAGAATGCATTCCATGCTAATGTAGAGTTAGGCTGTTACTAATTCTGTAAGACTCTTCCCACTCTCTTTCAGGCTTCCCTATTCATTTTCTTCAGTTGGGTGCACAGGAGGTTGGCCCTCAATTTGTGCCCTCTGAAGCCTCCCTGATGATATGGGCTGTGTTTTGTTGGATCACACAACGATGCTTCCAAATCTGTTGTTGTTCTGTACACTTTGCTTATTTTGTTGTGCATCTCATTTTTTTTTGGTCCATATCACTTCATACAGGGAGAATAATTATTGATGGCATTGACATTTCAAAGCTGCCACTCGATATGCTGCGCTCCAGACTGTCCATCATCCTCCAGGATCCCATCTTATTCAGTGGCTCCATTCGGTAAGCATTGGTTGAGGATAGATTTCATTTCTATCCCCCCTTTCTTCCTACCCGAAATTAGACTAAGCATGGCTAACTGGTCCCAAAAACTGGGAAACAGATGAAAAACTTTACTTTTTGGACTGCAAGTCCCAGGGTACCTCAGTTAGCATGACCATTGCTGGCTGGAATATTCAGGGAGTTGTAAGAAAATAACTTTTCCTACCTTGAAGATGTATTGATCTGTCTCTGGCCCGTGTCTGTCCTTTACATTTTCACTCATAAATCTGTGCTGTCCAAAACCCACATTTTTCTGCATTTGTTTAGTATGCACAAAAAGACTGCTTTCATTTTCTTTTTTGCAATTTTCCCTTGGAAAACAAGATTTTCCTTTACCACCCCAATATCCTCATCCTTTGGGGGAGATTGTATTGAGCAGGTTGCGAAACCCAACATCCCTTCCTTCAGCCAGTCACACCTCACTGTAGTAAAGGGAGCAGGGAGGGAAAACACATGTAACTGTAATGTTCTCGTTCTTTGTCTCAATACAATATTAGGAGCAAAAGTGTTGCCGAAATCAGCGAATTTAATTCAGTAGCATGGTCTAAGTTAAATACTTCTACATCTTCTTTTCCACAGCTTTAATCTGGATCCAGAGTGCAAATGTACGGATGATGTGCTTTGGGAAGCTCTAGAGATTGCCCAGCTGAAGAACATGGTCAAGTCCTTGCCAGGAGGTTTAGGTGTGTACATCAGAATAAAATACAATACAAAGGGCTTGGCTAGATGGACAAATTGGAGCGGGCCACTTAAAGTCAGCTAAGGTTGGTCAGAGATGCATGGTGGGATCCTTGCATCCATAGTCAAGAATCTGGCAATTTTGGGCAAGGAAATCACACCGCATCTCAAGCAACCCTGTTTAGTAGAATTATAGTCTTCTTTCCCGTTAAAAGGAAAGGAAATATGGTTCCTTTTTAAAGGGGAAGACTGATCGAGATTGTTAAGGCTGTCCTTTTGAAGAAGCCACTTAATTGAAATCTTCCACTGGGCTCTTCTGCTCTTCCGGAGCCTTCAAAGGAGAGTCCAGTGGAAGTTCCCAATTACCGTATTTTTCCATGTATAAGACTATACTTTTGTCTAAAATCTTTAGACTAAAAATTGAGGGTCGTCTTATACACAGAAGTAAGCTGAGGAAAGAACAAAAATAAGTGGAGGGGAAAGCAGGGATCAAAGTGACCCTGCAGGGCTTTGATCCCTGCTTTCCCCTCCACTTGCTAAGCCCCATTTAGATTTCTTAATTTTGGGTTAGAAAAGTGGGGGGGGCGTCTTATACATGGAGGCAACTTATACACAGAAAAATACGGTAAGCAGCTTCTCCAAAGAGATAGGCAGTTAGCCCCTTTGGTTTGATTTCAGCAATCCCATACCTGGGATTGAACCTAACTGGGGCAATCGCACCTGTACCTAAAAAAACAGTAGCCCCTGACAAGAAGTTAGAAAGGTGCAAGCAAGAATGTTCTGGGCTGGTTTGGTTTGTGCTGGCACCTACATAATCTGGTTGCTGGCAAAAGGGCTAGCCAATTTGTTAGCTGCTAAATATGTCAAAGGGCCTTTTCACCAGTCCTTCTGTAGCTTTGTGACCAAGTTTGCACTTGTTAAAGAGCTGCAGCCCAACGAGCCAATGTATTGGTGCATACCAGTTTCTAATCTCCTATTTCTTTGACTCACAAATTACATTTATTCACAGTTGTCAACTGTAGCAGTTCACAAGTGCTAGGTTGCTTCTGCCAAAACCTATCCTTTGGTACCACTGTCCAATGATGTCGAGATCCACCATTATCTCAATTGCTCAAGTTCAGTAGATGAAGCTGGACTGTCACAATCCTTACCGCTTGCTTTTTCCCCCTCCCCAGACGCTGTGGTAACAGAAGGTGGAGAGAACTTTAGTGTTGGTCAGCGCCAGCTTTTCTGCCTGGCCAGGGCGTTTGTGCGCAAGAGCAGCATCCTCATCATGGATGAAGCTACAGCTTCCATTGATATGGCCACGGTGAGTAACAGCTGTGGGCTCCTGCCCTCCTGCTGCTCTGTCCGTTCACACACACTGTTCCAAAGCACAAGCAATGGAGCCATTTTTAGTTCCAAGTCAAAACAGCAGATAATAACGGAACCATTATATTACCTTTATATACAAAACTCAGGGTGCAACCAGCGTGGGGCATTGGCACCAAAACTGTCCAGAGTCTCTGCATGATCACCTAAACTGAATACAACTATAAAAGAAGCTTGAATCAAGCCACAGCAAAAGCAAATCACTCCGATTCAGCCTTGCTGTGGCTCGATTCACAGTCACCTTTTGGTTGTATTCAGTCTAAGTGACCACACAAAGACCCTGGTTAGTGTCAGTGTCCACACTGACTCTCAGTGCAATTTGATATGTTCTGTCAGCCTATGGGTCTACTTCCTGTGATACTGCCCCCCTCGGGATCCCTGGCTCTCCTTTCCTTTATTTGTTTGGTGGTCTGTGAAGAGGAAATTTAGCGCTAATGTATCCGTGTAATGATAAGGCAATCTGGTGCCAAACTTGATATTTTATTTTTAAAAAGAAAATACTTTGGGACCACTAGAGAGAAAGATTGCAGAGATGGGTGTTCCTGCTGTCCAAAAATACCACCCAGAGCCATGCCCCCCCGTCCTTTTGTAGAACGAAACAACCTCATTCCACAGTGAAAACGCTATTCGAATCGTTCCTGCTTTCAAAAAGTGGAAGCCCCCAGCAGCAGGGGGGAAAATTCCAGATTGGATGCCAAGGACTGGGTTGATTTCCATTGGCCTTTGCATCATGTGGCCACTGAAAAATACTTTGAATTCTGCCCTGCTAATTGCGGAGCAAATCCCAAAATATTTATCAATCAAGTCATAGCCTCAATCTAATTCACTCGTGAGTCAAAGGATGAAGTAATTATTGCTAGGAAGGTATTGGAAATGCTGCCCATCCTATTTTAAGGAAGGGTAGAAAGTTGAATTCATGGGTTTAACTGTTGTGCTCTTTTCTTTCTAGGAAAACATCCTGCAGAAGGTCGTCATGACTGCCTTTGCTGATCGAACGGTAGTAATAATAGCTGTAAGTAGATACAATCATGATGGACCTGCTTCTTCACTGCATCTTCCCACTTTCATGCAGATCAGATGTGATGTTGCTTGAGTTGTGTAGGTCCTATGTGTAGGTCAACTCACATGCAGTAATCCATGTGTGATAATTATGAGAACTGGATAAATAACACTGTTTTATTGGATTCTCTATGGAGCGTCATGCTAATGTTTAATCCTTGCATGTTAATCTCTATGGAGCGTCATGCTAATGTTTAATACTTGCACGTTAACTCTCTCTGGTTCTTTCCTCTCAGTTTTCAGAAACATTGTCCATCTATATTTATACCAAGCTTTAATCACTTTCACATGGCATTATTTCTCTTATTTGTCTCATTCTTCCTTCTTTTCTTTCCTTTTCTTCCTTCCTTTTTTTTCTTCTTCCAGCACCGGGTCTCTCAGATTCTGGATGCAGACATTGTTTTAGTCTTCTCTGATGGCGTACTTGTTGAGTGTGATTCGGCTGCTAATTTACTTCTCAACAAAGATGGCCTTTTCACCACTTTGGTGAAGACACACAAATAGATATTCCCAAGCCAAGATTTCCTGCATCATTTCTGGCCTTCTTCTGGTATTCTTGCTTTTATTTCACTCTGCTCCTCTTCTCAGTTCAATCTCTGTACGACTTACAATATTTCGAAGTGCGGGCAGTCAGGTATTCTGAGATCCAGGTTTTCCCAAACGATTAAACCAAGACACACAAATAGATACTCCCAAGCCAAGATTTCCTGCATCATTTCTGGCCTTCTTCTGGTATTCTTGCTTTTATTTCTCTCTGCTCCTCTCTCACTTCAACCTCTGTACGACTTACAATATTTCGAAGTGCGGGCGGTCAGGTATTCTGAGATCCAGGTTTCCCCAAACGATTAAACCAAAGACATAGTTTGCTCTACGCCAGTGGTTCCCAACCTTGGCCAACCCAGATAGTCTTGGACTACAATTCCCAGAAGCCTTCACCACAAGCTGCGCTGGCCAGGGTTACTGGGAGCCATGGTTGGGAACTGCTTTATACTAAAAAGAATGTCACACTTCCATCTTAAATAGAAAAGATGCATACCTTTTGGTGATGAGTGTTTCTTATCTAGCCCTACATGGTTTTAGTTCTGATTATCTCATGAAGCAACCCTTCTTAACCTAATAAAACCTTCGTTAACTTAATTTGGCTTTGTTCTGAGTCTTTTTGAATTTTTTGTGATTTTTTTTTCCCCATTGAAATAGGCTGCAATGCATTTCAATGGAGGAACCGCGTTTCGCTTAACGTTTTTTCCTATGGCAATTTTCGCTTAAGGACGGTAATCCGTTCCAATTGGAATGGATTATCCAGTTTTCAATGCATCTCTATGGGAAATGGTGTTTCACTTAACGATGTTTTCACATAGTGATTTTTTTAACCAATTAAAATCGTAAAGTGAGGCACCACTGTAGTTTGCTCTACGCCAGTGGTTCCCAACCTTGGCCAACCCAGGTGTTCTTGGACTGCAATTCCCAGAAGCCTTCACCACAAGCTGTGCTGGCCAGGGTTACTGGGAGCCATGGTTGGCAACTGCTTTATACTAAAAAGAATGTCACACTTCCATCTTAAATAGAAAAGATGCATACCTTTTGGTGATGAGTGTTTCTTATCTAGCCCTACATGGTTTTAGTTCTGATTATCTCATGAAGCAACTCCACACCTTGAAACCTGACAACAGCTGATGAGACATTTCTGAAGTTACCAACCTTTGCAGAGGCCAAGTTGGCTCCCATGAAGAACAGCAGCTGTTCTGCACATACTGTAGAACTTTGGAACTCTCCTCCTCAAGATATTCTCTTCTCCCCCATTCCCCCCACGATTGTTTGCAAACAGTCCTTTGGCACGTGAAAGAGAATTGCTTACCTGTGTTTTATTTTAAGTTTCCTTTTTATAATTCTGTTTTAAATGCTTCATGTATACTGCTTAGGGGAGAGACTGCTGAAAACTGATCCACTAAGTTTGTCCCATGTGCTAACAGGAAATTTGGTGGGGATATACATAAAGCACCCTTAGTACAGCAGGCCCATCATTTGGCAGAAAATGTTAAAGTCAAAAGTAAATGAATTACAACAATCATTAGCACACACACACCCAAACACACCCGTTTCCCCAACAAACAACCCAATGAGGACCGAACATGGGCAAATGTCCTCTTCACAACTTCAGAAAGGTTCCCTTAAAATAATCTTGTAGAGGCCAACATAATTCAGGGAACTTCCCAACATGTTAAAGTGTACATTAGGAGCCCTAAAGTGAATACCTCAAAGCACTGACCAATCACAAAACAAAGCAGGCAAAATTTGAGAAACATGGTGAGGACAAACAGATATCTTTTACCAATTAAGAGAGCACCTCTTCTACATACGTGCTGCTAAGCATGCTTTATAGTTTTACTCAAGCCCAAACTAGTTTCTAAACCAGAAACAGTTATCCTGGCAGCTTTTTGTGTGTGTCAAAAGCATGGTTCGAATGATTTTCCCCTCTCAAATTAGGAAAAGAAT